ATTTAGAGAAATTAGCCTTTATTCATTTTGTATTAAAATTGTATTGTATAATAGTACTGGGTACAATATCAAGAGTATTCTAATTATTGAGTTTAAGTCACCATCAGTGACGTCACGAATCAGATCTAAGTTGTAAGGCGGAGTGACCGGTGGTCATAGGTCATCAGGGTTGACATGTCTAATATTTCTCAAAGTTCAATTAACCATTTTGGGGATCGGGAACAGCTCTGCCGTTAGATGTTTGTGTAATTTAATTTCAGTAAAATAATGCAACCAGTCTGGATCAATTCAGTACAAACAGAGGTTAATTGTTATAACTTAAACCTTGCTAAGTAACTGGATAAGCGATGCGGAACAATACAATGCTCTAGTCTGGGGTAGACCAGACGAGGAAGAGATCAGTGTGGACACCAGATCAACTGGGAGAGGTCAAACATCTTACCTCTCTCTCCCAAGACCAGCCCCCAACATCTAGAGCTGGTCGCCCAAGGTATAGTTGCTATTGTTAATTGTAGGGATAGTCTTCTCATTTGCCATTCAGGTCAAGTAGGGAGTGTTAAAGTGACAGGGAGTGAACATATTTAGATTTTGTTTTAGTTTTTTTCTTTTAATAAATTAATTAGTTAATAATTTGCATTTTTATTATTTCCATGTGTTTATGTGTATACTTGTCCTGGTCACGTGGTCCACACGAGGCAGAGTTGAATTGGGCGCCGATTCTAACATCGAATCGGAATTCATCATCCCCGTCTAATTAATTCCACACTCAAGTTTCCGAGGTTATAAACTACTAGTGGGGATCAAGCCCCAAGGTTGATTAATTAGCATGATCGATCCAGACCTCGATCATTGTTCTGTGTTACTGGTCTGGTGGTGGCGGCGGAGGCGACTCTAGGGTTTTGCTCAAAGCCTAGGTCACGTCATACTGGGTGTAGAATCCTAAGTCGGTCAATCGTCTTAGGACCACGTGGCGTGGAGTTGGCTTTGGTAAAAGTTTTGGAGTCCCTTGTAGAGAATAAAAAGTAAGAATACGGGTAGAGGGGGAGTAGAAGGAAAGATAAGATAAGGAGAGGAAACCCTACCCGGGGTTACATTACTTTCCATCCTTTGACTAATTTCTGGATAAGGTAGAACACCTATTCTGGCAGGATTGACTAATTCATCAGTCTTCAACCCCGGAAAATGTGAGCGGCATTACTGTTATGTATAAGCCAATGTCCTCAAGTTGACCAAACCACACACTAGAAAGTGAAGGGACGACGACGACGTTTCGGTCTGTCCTGGACCATTCTCAATCGACTTGAGAAGAATGGTCCAGGACGGACCGAAACGTCGTCGTCCCTTCACTTTCTAGTATGTGGTTTGGTCAACATATTTCAGCCACATTATTGTGACTCCTCGTCTCCAAACGTCCTCAAGGTTTCCCACTTGTCCCAGCTTTATGGCTAACCAGAAGACGACTATTGCAACACAAGACGTGGGAGATATATAAATGGACTTCCTTCAAAACAACCAGAGTGTTCTACTTACCCCTCAGGCCGTGCTGACCAAGACAGCAGAAGGCACGTAAATCGGCCTTAAAGCCACAACAATCTGAAAAATCAACCCCAACCAAAAATAATTAATGTTTGTTTTGTAAATACTTCCTTAGTTTGCATTTTAATGAAACAATAACAATAAAGAGAACAGAATAGATCAAGAAAAGTGTATAAACAAGAGGGAAGAACACACATCTGAAGAACTAAATCTAAGATAACATTGAGGGTGTTCACAAATCACACGGAACAGTTCCCATAGAACAGTAGGGAGCCGGTCGGCCGAGCGGACAGCACGCTGGACTTGTGATCCTGTGGTCCTGGGTTCGATCCCAGGCGCCGACGAGAAACAATGGGCAGAGTTTCTTTCACCCTATGCCCCTGTTACCTAGCAGTAAAATAGGTACCTGGGTGTTAGTCAGCTGTCACGGGCTGCTTCCTGGGGGTGGAGGCCTAGTCGAGGACCGGGCCGCGGGGACACTAAAAAGCCCCGAAATCATCTCAAGATAACCTCAAGATAACCCATTGATAATAAGAAACCCAGGATAAATGAGTGACTAATATTGAGGTAACAGTAGGACGAGGTAACGAGGGGCCCACAGGTACTTATGGAAACTATTGATGTTTCTTATCTTATTTTGAGGTTATCTTGAGATGATTTCGGGGCTTAGCGTCCCCGCGGCCCGGTCCACTACCAGGCCTTCTTTTTGTTACACACCCCCAGGAAGCAGCCCGTAGCAGCTGTCTAACTCCCAGGTACCTATTTACTGCTATGTGAACAGACGCATCAGGGTAAACAAACTCTGCCCATTTGTTTCCTCATCCGCCGGGGATCGAACCCGGAACCTCAGGATTACGAATCCCGAGCGCTGTCCACTCGGCCGTGGGGCCCGCTACGCACAGGCCCTCGGTACACCTTTACCAAATGACTTTAATGCTAAACTATAAAGGAGGAGTTACATTGGAGCTGTGAAACAATGTTACTGATGTACACAAGAGTGAGCAGTTACGAGGCACTTAAGTACAGAGTAGTATTACTGATAACACAACTTGCAAAGTACTTGAAAACATTACGATAAGAAAACTTAAACTTCCATACAGATTTATAATTGTAAAACAGCTCCAATACAGCTTTAGGATAGGGAGAACAAATTGACGAGAAGATCATACTTCTAAGCCATCCAGACGTTTTAGGCAGGTCCACATGAACACTATGTGAACTTTAGAAACACGTTACATACATACATACATACATACATACATACATACATACATACATACATACATACATACATACATACATAGAGTTGTTACATTCTTGTACAGCCACTAGTACGCGTAGCGTTTCGGGCAGGTCCCTGGAATTCGATCCCCGCCGCGAAGAATCGTTGTTACAACCAAGTACCCATTTTACTGTTGAGTTAAACAGAGGCTACAGTTAAGGATTTGCGCCCAGTAAATCCTCCCCGGCCAGGATACGAACCCATGACAAAGCGCTCGCGGAACGCCAGGCGAGTGTCTTACCACTACACGGAGACTGGCGACAGTAGCCGCATGAGCACTGATGAGGGGTGACAGTGTACCTAACTGACAGGAAGCAGCGAGTCATAGTGAAGGAGGTAAAAGCTGGATTGGCAATATTTGGTGGCAAAATACTGCAAGAAGATTACAGCAGCTGTCAAGAAGACAAACAGGCTACAAAGTTGATAAAAAAATGGCTATTATTATTACTTAATACCACTAAGTGTAAGGGAATGAATATGAGGTTAAAAGAAATCAGCTGGACGGTGCACACGCTTAAGGGAAACACCGACTTGAGCCAAGCCAAGAAAAAATCCTTTTAGTATAATAATACCCAAAGATTCAGACATATATAAGGTGAGTGGAGTGATAAATCATTTTCCCGAACAAAATGTAGCTCTTTATCCCCCGAGAAATGTGCCAAAACGAAGAACAAACTTTATTTTAGGCAACTGCCACCAATTTGGGGCCAGCAACTGCTTCCAACGCGTCCCCTGAGGGGTCAAAATGGCCAGGATAGCCATAACTCACCAGCCGCTGGTGATTTGTCTCAAAATTTGCAGAATTCTCAGGTTTCTATATGTCTTAACTTTTTATCTATTTGTGCAAGATAAAATTGGACACAAGAGGAGCAGCAGTAGAGGACAATGTCATCTACAGATGAAGGAAGAAGGAACAGAGATGGAGGGAAGGAGATTATTATTATTAACATCTTTATTGACAAAATTAATTGCAAATTTGCCTAATCTGAGGATTTTGATAGTCTTATTAAAGTGAGGATAATGCTAGTATTCACTGTCACGCAGGACAGAGAAGAATAGTAATGAACTGTATGGGCAGATGGCTGACTGGTTGAGTGGTTCACGTGTGTATAGAGATGCATAAATGGATCACATATGGATATATATGTAGTGATAGATGACCAGATGGATGAGGTGGAGGAGTGGGTAAATAGATGGAGGGATAAAAGGATGCCAGAATCCATCCTCCTCTCTCAGCACAGACAGTATTTAGGATACTCTTCACTTCACCTGTACATTTACGGATCACATTCTAGTACTAAAATGTTATTATCAAAATTAAACAACAACAGCAACAGGAACATGCCGAATTACTCATTCAGCTGAGCTATCAGCATAACTGGGTACGAACCCATGGTCCACGGAGTATTATCATTCGTACCATATTTTGGTCAACACAAATGACACTGATCACAAATTCTCTCTCGCGATCAAAATTAGAATTGGTATTTTAATAAACGATTTCTCTATCAAACTGCACGAGCCTCAACTATTGGTAGAGACACTTCCCCCACCCCTCCCCCCTTCCCCAAGTGGCTGCAATGTCTGGCTTCCAAGTTATTAGGCATAAAATAGCATTAAAGGCGGGTTGGGTCGGCCCGCTAAACTTAAATGGATTTCCATTGATTGAACTTAAGCTCCGTCAGCCCCGGGCCTCGCTGGCAATGATGTATCCCCCCCCCTCCCCCCCACCCCCCGAGACACTATACTCGGCGCCATACACCTACGTTGTTGTTGTGTATATATCTCCAATACGCCCAGTATTATTGCTCGTGCCACTGCCCAACATGTTCCGCCACATCCCATCTCTCTCTCACACACATTGCAGTCCGTTCTAAAATATCTTTCAACAGCACATCCTGTCTCTGTCTCTGTCTGTCTGTCTGTCTCTCTCTCTCTCTCTCTCTCTCTCTCTCTCTCTCTCTCTCTCTCTCTCTCTCTCTCTCTCTCTCTCTCTCTCTCTCTCTCTCTCCTCTCTCTCTCTCTCTCTCTCGGCCACCTCCTGCAACAGCCCTACTATACAACACCATTATACACTGTACAGTGCGATACATTGCAACAAAAATCACAATTATACAATGATGTGAAATATAAACCCAGTTTGATTAATCCAATCACGGCATAAATATTTATATTTTGCGAGGCAACTGGCACCCCTGGCAGCGAGGCATCTGGCATCCCTGGCAGCGAGGCATCTGGCACCCCTGGCAGCGAGGCATCTGGCACCCCTGGCAGCGAGGCATCTGGCACCCCTGGCAGCGAGGCAACTGGCACCCCTGGCAGCGAGGCAACTGGCACCCCTGGCAGCGAGGCATCTGGCATTCCTGGCAGCGAGGCATCTGGCACCCCTGGCAGCGAGGCATCTGGCACCCCTGGCAGCGAGGCATCTGGCATCCCTGGCAGCGAGGCATCTGGCACCCCTGGCAGCGAGGCAACTGGCACCCCTGGCAGCGAGGCAACTGGCACCCCTGGCAGCGAGGCAACTGGCACCCCTGGCAGCGAGGCAACTGGCACCCCTGGCAGCGAGGCAACTGGCACCCCTGGCAGCGAGGCATCTGGCACCCCTGGCAGCGAGGCAACTGGCATCCCTGGCAGCGAGGCAACTGGCACCCCTGGCAGCGAGGCATCTGGCACCCCTGGCAGCGAGGCAACTGGCATCCCTGGCAGCGAGGCAACTGGCACCCCTGGCAACGAGGCAACTGGCATCCCTGGCAACGAGGCAACTGGCATCCCTGGCAGCGAGGCAACTGGCACCCCTGGCAGCGAGGCAACTGGCATCCCTGGCAACGAGGCAACTGGCACCCCTGGCAACGAGGCAACTGGCATCCCTGGCAACGAGGCAACTGGCATCCCTAGCAGCGAGGCAACTGGCATCCCTGGCAACGAGGCAACTGGCACCCCTGGCAGCGAGGCAACTGGCATCCCTGGCAACGAGGCAACTGGCACCCCTGGCAGCGAGGCAACTGGCACCCCTGGCAACGAGGCAACTGGCATCCCTGGCAGCGAGGCAACTGGCACCCCTGGCAGCGAGGCAACTGGCACCCCTGGCAACGAGGCAACTGGCATCCCTGGCAGCGAGGCAACTGGCATCCCTGGCAGCGAGGCAACTGGCATCCCTGGCAACGAGGCAACTGGCATCCCTGGCAACGAGGCAACTGGCACCCCTGGCAGCGAGGCAACTGGCATCCCTGGCAACGAGGCAACTGGCATCCCTGGCAGCGAGGCAACTGGCACCCCTGGCAACGAGGCAACTGGCATCCCTGGCAGCGAGGCAACTGGCACCCCTGGCAGCGAGGCAACTGGCACCCCTGGCAGCGAGGCAACTCAGGTCTTCTCTGAATACTCTCTATTTTCTTCTCCGAGGCGATGGGTCCTTACACTTGCACCAAGAGTGGTACCCTCACAATTTTATTTAAAATATATAATAGGGGTAATAACAACAATGTGGTTATCTTGAGATGATTTCGGGGCTTAGCGTCCCCGCGGCCCGGTCCTCGACCAGGCCTCCTTTTTGTTACACACCCCCAGGAAGCAGCCCGTTGCAGCTACCTAACTTCCAGGTACCTATTTACTGCTAGGTAACAGGGGCATCTGGGTGAAAGAAACTCTGCCCATTTTTGTTTCCATCTTCACCGGGGATCGAACCCGAAACCTCAGGACTACGAATCTGAAGCGATGTCCACTCAGCTGTCAGGCGCCTCAGGCTGAACACTAGTCACAATAAACACTCGCGATTAGTTACATATTTCCAGGCTATAATTCATAAGGCAGAGTGCGAACTGCGGTGTTTAACAGCCTGGTTGACCAGTCCGCCAACTCTGACTCCTGGACACAAGCCGGTGCCGCTTTAACATGATCCTCAACAACCCTTCCTCTCAACTAATGGTTTCCATAACGTAAAAAATGCGACCTAAACGTTACAAATGCGATCCACTATGAAAAGTAACGGCTGACAAATGTTCACGATTTCTATACATCGGACTCGAGATGTTAGGTGGGTTGCTTGGGTTTGTACGTTTCTGGCTAGGTTAAGAGGCTGCATTTTTTAGTGTTATTTTTTTTTACGGAACCGCCTAAGGGTAGGTTACAACCCCCTAACTGACAACTGTACACCGCTTCGTACAACGGCCTAAAAACTCATGTTGGAACTAATTATATTGTCCCTGTGTGGGAGATCATCGTCCTGCGAGACGGCCATCTTGGTAAGACACAGCTCTTTATCAGACTCTAAACCCCTTCATATAGTGTAAGGTAGCAGCCTCAAGGCCCCGTGTACCGCACCACATTACACTTAAACAAAAAAAATCGCATGCAAGCCGAGTCCTGGGCTACCAGGGCGGGCTGGCAGGGCGGCCTTGGTTATTACACGACCCCTGGCCGCTGCACGCCTCCACCACCCACCCCTCCACACTACCCACCCCTCCACACTACCCACCCCTCCACACCACCCACCCCTCCACACTACCCACCCCTCCACACCACCCACCCCTCCACACTACCCACCCCTCCACACCACCCACCCCTCCACACCACCCACCCCTCCACACTACCCACCCCTCCACACCACCCACCCCTCCACACCACCCACCCCTCCACACTACCCACCCCTCCACACCACCGACCCCTCCACACCACCCACCCCTCCACACTACCCACCCCTCCACACTACCCACCCCTCCACACCACCCACCCCTCCACACTACCCACCCCTCCACACCACCCACCCCTCCACACCACCCACCCCTCCACACTACCCACCCCTCCAAACCACCCACCCCTCCACACTACCCACCCCTCCACACCACCGACCCCTCCACACCACCCACCCCTCCACACTACCCACCCCTCCACACCACCCACCCCTCCACACTACCCACCCCTCCACACCACCCACCCCTCCACACCACCCACCCCTCCACACCACCCACCCCTCCACACACCACCCACCCCTCCACACCACCCACCCCTCCACACCACCCACCCCTCCACACCACCCACCCCTCCACACTACCCACCCCTCCACACTACCCACCCCTCCACACCACCCACCCCTCCACACCACCCACCCCTCCACACCACCCACCCCTCCACACTACCCACCCCTCCACACCACCCACCCCTCCACACCATCCACCCCTCCACACCACCCACCCCTCCACACCACCCACCCCCTCCACACCACCCACCCCTCCACACCACCCACCCCTCCACACCACCCACCCCTCCACACCACCCACCCCTCCACACCACCCACCCCTCCACACCACCCACCCCTCCACACCACCCACCCCTCCACACTCCCCACCCCTCCACACCACCCACCCCTCCACACTACCCACCCCTCCACACTACCCACCCCTCCACACCACCCACCCCTCCACACCACCCACCCCTCCACACCACCGACCCCTCCACACCACCGACCCCTCCACACTACCCACCCCTCCACACCACCCACCCCTCCACACCACCCACCCCACCACACAACCCACCCCTCCACACTACCCCACCCCTCCACACTACCCACCCCTCCACACCAACGCCCCCTCCACACTACCGACCCCTCCACACTACCCACCCCTCCACACTACCCACCCCTCCACACCACCGACCCCTCCACACTACCGACCCCTCCACACCACCGACCCCTCCACACCACCCACCCCTCCACACCACCCACCCCTCCACATCACCCACCCCTCCACACCACCCACCCCTCCACACCACCGACCCCTCCACACCACCGACCCTTCCACACTACCGACCCCTCCACACCACCCACCACTCCACACCACCCACCCCTCCACACCACCCACCCCTCCACATCACCCACCCCTCCACACCACCGACCCCTCCACACCACCCACCCCTCCACACCACCCACCCCTCCACACCACCCACCCCTCCACACCACCGACCCCTCCACACTACCGACCCCTCCACACTACCGACCCCTCCACACTACCGACCCTTCCACACTACCGACCCTTCCACACTACCCACCCCTCCACACCACCCACCCCTCCACACCACCCACCCCTCCACACCATCCACCCCTCCACATCACCCACCCCTCCACACCACCCACCCCTCCACACTACCGACCCCTCCACACTACCCACCCCTCCACACTAACCCACCCCTCCACACTACCCACCCCTCCACACTACCCACCCCTCCACACCACCCACCCCTCCACATCACCCACCCCTCCACACCACCCACCCCTCCACACTACCCACCCCTCCACACCACCCACCCCTCCACACCACCCACCCCTCCACACTACCGACCCCTCCACACTACCCACCCCTCCACACCACCCACCCCTCCACACCACCCACCCCTCCACACCACCCACCCCTCCACACCACCCACCCCTCCACACCACCGACCCCTCCACACCACCCACCCCTCCACACCACCCACCCCTCCACACCACCCACCCCTCCACACCACCCACCCCTCCACACCACCGCCCCCTCCACACCACCCACCCCTCCACACCACCCACCCCTCCACACCACCGACCCCTCCACACTACCCACCCCTCCACACCACCCACCCCTCCACATCACCCACCCCTCCACACCACCGACCCCTCCACACCACCCACCCCCTCCACACCACCCACCCCTCCACACCACCCACCCCTCCACACCACCCACCCCTCCACACCACCCACCCCTCCTCACTCACCGACCCCTCCACACTACCGACCCCTCCACATCACCCACCCCTCCACACCACCGACCCCTCCACACCACCGACCCCTCCACACCACCGACCCCTCCACACCACCCACCCCTCCACACTACCGACCCCTCCACACCACCCACCCCTCCACACCACCGACCCCTCCACACCACCCACCCCTCCACACCACCCACCCCCTCCACACCACCCACCCCTCCACACTACCGACCCCTCCACACCACCCACCCCTCCACACCACCAACCCCTCCACACCACCCACCCCTCCATACCACCGACCCCTCCACACCACCCACCCCTCCACACCACCGACCCCTCCACACCACCCACCCCTCCACACTACCGACCCCTCCACACCACCGACCCCTCCACACCCCCGACCCCTCCACACTACCGACCCCTCCACACCCCCCACCCTTCACACCACCGACTCCTCCACACCACCCCCCCCCCCTCCACACCACCCCCCCCTCCACACTACCGACCCCTCCACACCACCCACCCCTCCACACCACCCACCCCTCCACACCACCGACCCCTCCACACCACCCACCCCTCCACACCACTGACCCCTCCACACCCCCGACCCCTCCACACTACCGACCCTCCACACCCCCCACCCCTTCACACCACCGACTCCTCCACACCACCTCCCCCCCCTCCACACCCCCCCCCCCCCCTCCCCGAAAGTTAGTTATGGAGGCTTACCCAGAACAAGCTCCCAACCTCGCCAACTACTGACCATCGCTTCCTCTACACATACACACACACACACACACACACACACACACACGCACACACACACACACACACACACACACACACACACACACACACACACACACACACACACACACACACACACACACACAATTCCGTTATCCTTCACCTCGTCATTCCAAGACGTATAGACTCGGGGAGATGACAGGGAGCCACTTCTCGCTGCCACTTTTCCCGTTTGCGAGATGTTCCCTGGCCAGAGCTGGCTCCTTACGGAACAATTCAAGTTTGTGTTTTCCTTCAGTATGACAAAACCGAGTTCAGTCGGCAAACAACTGTAATTTTTCTTACTATCATATTAGGATGACATAATTTGATGTGATCAACCGGGTATGTTCATCAGGGTATGTTCAGTTTGATGTGGTTAGAAATGTTTGTGCTCAATCAGTTAGCAATTAGCTTTAACAACATACCACACAATAAACAATCTCTGAGCACTGCTGGAAACGATGAATTTCTCTTGACTAATGTGAGGAGTAGTGATGACTTGTATGAGTCTCTTCAGTTCTCCTCTTATCCAACACTAAAATGTTCTCTTCCGCCTCATACTTCGGCTTCTCATAGGGCTCATACTCGCCTCATACTCATACTCCCTCCGCAGTACTACAACCCCGAAAACTACATTGAACTCTTCCCAACAATAATTCCTCTCTTTATTCCCTCATAACCTTTTCCCTCTCCTAGACACTCTTCCTACATGAGTTTTGTATACACTTCCACTCTTTCCAAGAAATACCTCCTCCACACACTTTTTTTTTGTTGGAGGGGAGGGTTAAGAGGAGTGAAGGGAAGTTTAGAAATGGGAAGTATAGTGTGAGTTATGATAAGAGGCGG